TTTTTTTTTTTTTGGGGTCGGATTTCTTGATTCGTTATGGCCGGACTATATTTCGTTTGAGTTTTTGTTAATGGAACAGCCCATGATGTTTAATTCGCGACCTTCCATTGTTTATGAGGTTTCTGTTTACATGGGCGCTGGTAAAAGAGAAATTGAAGCTCGGCATGAATGTTGTTTGTGGTTTTTGCTAGGGCTTTTTCTGTTACCACTCTTTCTGAGTATTCAGCAACCTATTTTGCCCTGAATTTTGATTTCCTTTTTTTTTTTTTTAGTGTCAGATTTCTTGATTTGTTAAGACAGGGCTATATTTCGTTTGGATTTGTGTTAGTGGAACAACCCGTGATGTGTAGTCATGGGTTACTTTGATCCTGTTAAATTCGTGTTCTTCGATTCTTGGGGTTTATGTTTACAGGGCCGCTAGTAAATATTACATCGTTATGCTATTATTGGTGTTTTTCGTTGCCTCTTTACATATCTGTTGTGGAAGTGTTTCTGAGTAAGATTCCGGTTTAGGGATTAATTGCCAGCACTTGTTTTGACGAAAGCGATTTATTATTGGGGAGGAGAAAAATAGTCGAGACTCAAAAGCTCGTTGTGTTTGCAAAGGAAAATCAAAACTTGATTAAATGGGGATTCAAACACTACCGGGCCATATCTTCTTTCGCTGATGAAAACTAAGAAATCAATGCTTTTTTTTTTTTTATTCGTTTTGCTGTGTTGCTCAAGTTTTTAGCCATGGATTCTGTCTGAGGACTTTAGGTTCCGAGCATTTAAGTTGTGGTTTTTCTCATCTTCAAAATGTAGCTATGTAAGTATAGGCTGCCAGATGTAAAGAATACGTACCGGCTTAGATGATTGGTAGTTGATGCTCACCAGAAATATTGTGTATTTGAAACAATATTCCTGGGCGTAACCTGATATATTGTTTCTTGTTTGGTTATTCCGGCTTTTTGTATGCAGTCTAACAGGCACACGATTGTTCTCATGCAAGCATCTCACAGCAGGGCATCTCGTACTTTCATGGACTACGATTCTATCAGTCAAGCAATGGATGGTATGCATTAAATAGATATTTTAACTGTATATACCACTAATACTAGTCATGCTTAATTATTATTTTTATTGTAAAATCAAAAGAGAAATTGTGAAGGATACTACTTGAATGTGATTCTGGGAAGGGGGAAAACTTATTTTGACCCCAAAGATGAGAAAATTTCCGGATTGGTGGTTAGGTTGGTAAGTAAGTGGTTTTAGTTTAGATACTTCCTGCTTTCGACATGCTTTTCATCTTGGGGAAAGGAAAAAAAGAAAGAAAAAGAAGAAGATGGATGGTTTTGATCTACACCTTTTGATTGGTGAAAGTGTGTTAAAAGTTTCTGTTTACTACGAAAAATTAGCTTTCTGGTGTCTCTCCTAACTGAATTTCAATTCAGTTACTTTGTGAATTTCAATTCACAAAGTAAATCCTCCTAGAGGACTTACTGCATTAAGAGCAAAAAGAATATGTACACGTGCCTTTGGATCAGATCTTAAGCGAATCAAACAAGCATATGATGAAATTGGAAACAAGTTGATTGCGAAACAAATGATGGCACAGTGAAATGTTACATTATTTTTATTTTATTTATTTTTCATTAACTCATGTTGTTCTAATCTTTTATCCAGGAATTTGCGGGCTATATGAACGGAAACTCAAGGAGCTAAATCCAGCCTCAAGAAACATCACATACGATATCTCGGATCTTTACAATTTCATTGACGGGCTTGCTGACTTAAGTGCATTAGTGTAAACTCTCTCTCTCTCTCTCTCTCTCTCTCTCTCTCTCTCTCTCTCTAACAAAAATTCTTGATATCTTCGGAGATTAACTCTGTTCAAATTTAATTGGATTTTCGTGATTATCCTTGTGTGGACATACATACAATTGAGTAATCCATACATACTTCAATCAATGCTAATTTGGTTGTGCAGCTATGATCACTCGATCCAAGCTTACCTACCGTACGATAGACAGTGGATCAAACAGAGGACATTACAGCACTTGAGGAAATTGGCTCATTAGGTCCCCTTACCATTGCAGTCTCTTCTCTAATTGTGGTCCAAATCTTTTGAATCACATATTTCCTTGTAATGGAAATACTTTAGTATTGGGTATTTGACCTGGTCTACTATCATTATATTGCTACATAGAAAAAAAAAAAAAAAAAAAAA